ACTTACAAACCTAAGCATTGCAAAAGCGTTAAAAAAAAACAAGGAGAACCTGGTATCCATACGGTGCATTACTCCTTACCTATTAGTATCATTATTTTAGTATTAAATAATAGGCAGTCCCATCTCTAGGCGTATGGAAGATTAGATACAATACATCAAAGCGAAAAACGGTACCTTATGTACTCAAACACGCTCAAAATCGCCAGCCAATCCTTCGTAAAAGAGAATTGAAAAGATCATCATGAAATCTAATTGACCATTGTTTTAAGGCTTAAAATGAACATTTTGTAGCGAGTAATAAGCAAGGAAGTTAGATTGCTATAGCGGACGTAGTAAAAATTGACGATCCTCTTACTATTGCCAAACGGTGCGTTTAGTAGGAGATTGCAGATTTGTATATATCCATTCAATTAGCTTGGTCATCTTTCTGGCGAGTGTTATGATAGATAGATTAATACAATATATTTATTACCTCATTAGTTATTTTGTTTTTCTATAATTATGCAGTCGTAAGCCTTGAAATAGCATCGGTAAAATTTCCGTAGAGCTACATCGCACGGTGACGCATATCGGTTTTATAGCAGATTATAGTTTAGATAGGACATACGCTAGGAAAGCTTTCCTTTCCTTTTCCCTTAGTCAAACAAAGGATTGTATTTGCTAGATTCAATATTTCAAGATTAGTCTACAGACGCTGTACAGTTGCTCTTCGCATCTCACGATGTGTCTCATCCTACTCTGATAGACACCTTGCGTTTTCTCGTGCTGCGGTTTCAGCATTCGTTCCCGTTAATCGCGCCGGTGTTTGCGTGGCACTGATGCAGCCGAAAAATGTTTCTTCTAAGCGTGAGATTTTGTTTTTACATAATTGCACTTAATACTCTAAACGAAATGATAACCAGTCCGATCACCTAATCTAGGGTCCGACTTCTGCGTTTTGGCAGTTCTAGGGATCACTCAGTAGATACTTTAAACAGAACTTTAAAGTTACGCGTTTCATTTGAACGCAGTAGAAACACAAGTCCTTTCATTACGCGGCTATCAGGTATAGACGTTGAAATCTGCACTGACTTGGATTGATTAGATGCATACAGAGGAACGTATCTCTTAGCGTAGTCTATAGCCACCGTACGCTAATATGACGTTATCATTGTGTTTTATGATAGCACGTTCGTACGTGCTATCTTTATAGTCACAAAGTCAATTAAATCGGTTACGTCTATTAGACAGACGAGATTTCGTACGCTTACTTTTGCCTACACACAAACAAAATGATTCTTACCTCGGTAAACACGGCAATAACGCGTCCTACTTGTCTTGAGCCACTTCCTTTCTCGCCTGCACATATCAAGAATCGTCTTTTTGTTTTGTTTATATTCTTCATGAATTTAGTGAAACCGTAGGAGACAGAAAACTGAGTCGCAAGAGATTTGTTAGGGATAGTTGTAGTCACCCTGTATTAATTTTAATGGTGCTTAATTAATCAAAGGTTAGCCTAATAGTTAGTTCCGTGTCATTTAATTTAGCTGCAATGCTTGTTTTATCTAGCAAAGGACTACATTTAATTCAATTAGAATACTAGCGGAAGTCAACAAAACCGCTGCACACACATAAGATTTTCATATTATAAATTATATTCATTTATACAGGCACTTCCAGAACCGACGGAAAGTTAAGGGCGCCCGATCAACGAGTATAACATTGTCCACTGACTCTTTCTTCATGATGAGCCTTCAACCTGTTTCGCTGCTGATGTCGCAGTAGAATTTATTGGTCAAACTATTTCCTTCACCGGCTGTTCATGCAAGCTAGGACCGGACCTGCTTTTTCTATCGTATTTCTATCGGCTCCTGGTAGTGCGCTTTCGTCTTTTTTTTTTTTTTTTTTTGATGGCCGACGACGAAAGCGTGTGCCGCTGACAAACTGTTTGGAAGAAAGAGTTCGCATATCAGGCCGTTTCCTATTCGAACAGAAGTTGCAGCGGTGACTATCAGATGACAAATGGGATCTTTCCTTAATTTTCTTTTTCATCTGTTTTCTGGTAAACGGTAGCAAACGATGAAAAAGCGATCCCCTATTTCAGTTTCAGGCATTTCGTTACCAGTACCACTGTGCCGTTGTGAGTATTCGGTGGATCGATTTGAATCATGAAGCGACGTTGCAAATTGTCGGACAGCCGTTTCAGTTAGCAGAGCTTCCCGATCAATTTACCGCCTCCCTCTCAAATGAACAGAACGAATCCGTTGGAAATAGGCGCCGTCTATGCTGCTTGTTTCGACTGTCATCGGAAAGTCAGCCGGACTGATCGGACCGACACAGAGTGGTCCATCGTGATGCCATGAAACATCGAGGAGCTGCCGATTGGACCGAATAAGAGGCCCGACCCACGGCGGGCCACATCTACAGCATGCAATAATAGGGGTGCAATCGTTGCTTTTACTCCTCTTGCGTCTTTACGACCACGACGACGACGACTTATATTACCCTGCTCTGCCCTGCTTTTCGTCCACATCGTTCGTCTGTCCATAATCCATATTACTTTGTCATCGGCGAGCTTCGCGCTCATCGACTCTCTCCCATTTTTGCCACCGGCCGCTTTGTAAAATGATTTCGAGTGATATTTCCGGGACACTAGTAAGCGGCGTTTACATCTTCGATAAATACATACGACGTAATTTTCGTGTCCAGTTGACTTAAGCTAATACGACGCGCGAGTACCTACCCATAGACATCGAGACATTATTTGCAGGAAGTAAGAAAGGAAGCATAATTTGATGCTTTACATGAAACGGTTTCCGTTACAGGGATGTGGGAAGGGCAAGTATTGTTTGCTGTCACGAGGCGCCAACTGCGTATCTGTTATATATTGAAACAACTTGATGCAGGGGCTATTATAGTTATGCTCCTCTCTGTCAGTCCAGAGAGAGAGAGCGAGAGCGAGAGTGAAGGGGAGCGAGCGAGAAACAGATCATGGCTCTGCTTCAAGCAGGCTAGCCCCACCAGCACCGTTCCCAAACCTTACTGCGATGTCTAAGCACTAATTCGAAATCTGGCGCTAATTACAGATATCAATAGAGTATAGTCAATTATTTGTAATGTTTACAAACCTGTCTCAGTAGCTTTGAAATGATTTAATAAATCATTCATTTGGCTTTAACAACTCAAGCTCCAGTTAATAAAAACACCTAATAATAATTCACTAATGCTTTGTCCCGGCCAACGCATCTGCTTTTTAGCAATTGCGCAACGATTTATTGATCACTGACGCGCCTCGTAAGAGACCATAACGATATTTCACCAGCATTCCAGCCATCATCTGCATTTTAATCTATAAAAAAAATATCGATAAATATATGCAGATTCGACAATCTATCCAACTTGTACGAAATTTAAATCTTTAAGGAAATAATCGAGTAAGCATCTTTGGCAAAGCAAAGATTATGGCTTAACTAGCTGGTAAATCGTATTTGTGAAGGACCTTCGATGGGAATATATATCTATCTAAGTTCTTTAAGCTAGACTAGTTTTCATTCGTTACCCGGCTTGTACAGAACCTTGAAATTTGGGCATTTTTTTCATTTTGCCTTTCGCTGCATGTATGCTGTCCATCTCTTAAGCTCGACTTTTAACTTTTTGTAAATTGTAGATGGACGATACAAAGCTATTCAATTTGAGTACTTCCGAAAACTGTGGAAAACGTTATACTCCTGCCATGTCTACTCGGGCAAAATTCATATCTAGTAAAACAATTTTTATTCAATTGTACTGAAAGTTTACGGTAATGAACAAGCGGCTTTATTACCTAGATAATCTGAACACTAGATTAAAACGGCCTTGGATTGCGTTCCGACCTCGGATGATTTGCGGCAAATGTGCGGAACGTTTCTCTAATTTAAAGGCGGTGTCATGCCATGTTCAGGCTAAATGTACAACGCTGGTAATTACACGAATGAAAAGTGTTAAAATAGCATGTTCAATGACTCGACGCTAAGTTCCGTCGCAGAATTCGAACACATACGTCTGGCCTTCATTTGGAAAAATAAAAGTTGTTATTTTCTTACTGAGGATACAAATTGTCGGACCCGACTTTGATACTTTATTGCAAACAGGTCATATAAAACTTAACTTATTTCTACAAGTATCTGTTAGGCGAAAAAAGTTTCGTTGTCAGTTTTAAGCCCTGGCTTCCCGTAGAGGTCATCTCATCTTCGAACTCCTCGACACGTTTAGCCTTTCAAAATCACTATCTTTAAAATAATGGCTGCTTTCGAACTTTGTGGAACAATCAGATATAGACGCACAGGATTGTCTTGTTTGCCGCCGCAGTTTCGTACACATGGCATGAAGCACGCTATACAATAACCTTACTTTGTTAACAATTTGAATGAAGCATTTTTCATTTGCTAAGAATAACAAAAAAAAGTCAATGATCGCCAACGTGAAGTCTGAGCTCGCAACGTCCGACTCCGTCAGCGCACATGTAAATTCTAAACAAGGTCGTATAAACCAATTTATATCACTGCCATACGTTGTACACGTATGTAAGTGTTTTGCTTGAAATTATCCAAGTTTTAACATTTTTATGACAGATTTTTTTGCCGATCCGTGATGTACTTCTGAAGCCACTAAATCAACTGGGTTCTGAACGGCACTGACTTAAATCAATTCAGCCGAATGGAAACAAAAATAAATAGTCAAAAAGCGTGTTTTCGTCACTCGTCTCATGTGATAGCGCGCTGATTACTTTTGTGATTGTTGTTGCTGTTCATGATGACGATGGTGTCACTTATTTCATTCATTCACCCACCCACACTTCGTTGAGTCCGCGACACAGCAACAGGATGATGCTAGGCATCCTTTCCACAAAATTATTCTTTCACTTACTGACGATATCCCTCGTCGATTTCCCCCCCCCCTTTCTATCTGTTTTAGCGACGAAAGTAAGGATGGATAGTATAAGAAGGAACCGTTGTCGCAGGAGAGGCCCTAGATGCGCTGCAACAATATCAGCAGCAGCGACGGGACGGCCGAAAATAACCAGTCAGCTTTTTGGCTGGCACTAGATAGACACGTGTATGTGTGCGGGAAGTGTCGTACGTTTGGCTGGAAACGTGCCTGGTGAGTGAAATACGTGAACACAGGGTAACGTACAGCGGCTTTCGTGGGCAGCGACTGCAGAAAAGCCTTGAAAAAGACTTTGCGCATATTTGAAAAAAAACGATTTTGTCGTGCAAATACGATGGCAGTTCGACGTGGGAGGCTGTCGAGAGCGTTGATTGCCTCAGCTGTGATTGTGCACTGCGTAAGTAGTTTCTTTCGTTGTTTTCATAGGTTTTATTCAAGCTTAAACGCCCTATCTAAACGTGTCAGAAAGTCTTATATCTATTAGGAATACGCCGGACAAAGAAAAGCTTTCAGCGTGTTTGTGTGCATCCTTCTGGTACTTCAGGCGCGAGTCACACTTGAGCACAAGGACGCGTTAGCTTTTCAGTACGACGTCACCGTTTCGACATTGCTACTCGTTGTCTTTCTCAAATGAGGGAGAACCCTGTTACGGGAACTAACTGTCCTGCACACGTAGCGGCATATCGCTTACATGGTTCTTACGTACGAAACCGTCTGGACCTTGGGTAAAGGAAGCGTATTAGACCCTAGCGACTACCCCTGTACTATCTGCATCGTACCACGTTGAGCAGAGGAAAGCGCGTTACGTTCGAAGATGGAGATAGACATGTCTTCACGCAACCGCGTTTGCTGCACACGGTGATTCACTGTAATCAGTTGTATGCTTGTGTTCAACTGGTGCTGACATGGGTCGTTGGAATCGAGAAAATAATCGCACAAGTTTCGTATGCATAGACTCCATTGCTTCGAAAAATACTAGGCCGAATAAACACCGTATATCGACGATATACATTTGTACATATAGCAGCGGTTTTTGTTGCTTACAAGCATATTGGCGTGTACAGACTGTTTTTACGCCTTCATGACTGCCCGGTAGCGCTGGCCGATACAATTTCCGTTACGGCTACAACTACCGATTACTACATTGAAAATTATACACCCTACCCCGAACTAGTTATTCAACGCTGGCTTTTTAGGCGCAATTTTTCCATTTTTCGGAAAAGAGCCCCACATTCAATGTAATACATAGCGCACAGAATGTAGACGTACGTGAGTCGAATGAGAAAGATCATCTAGCGGACGGGTCGATCAACTTTGATTCTCAGATAAAGTTCATCAGTCTTGGACAGCTATCTAATTCATGATGTTTACAAACAGTACGCTAATGTTTAACTAGAAAGACGACAATTTCTATGGCAGTGATTTAGTTGCCACTCAGTCATACGCCGGAGGCCTGTTGCAAGTACTGCGCCGCCGTAAAGTTTCACTCAAGGTAGAAGTTAAACTTAAAATCGTTGTGGGCTAAATTGTTTAGCCCCCGACTGATTCGATTATTCTGAGCTTGTATCGGATTTATTTAAGGTAGGCTGAACATGAAGCTAAGGGCATTTTCAGAACGTTATGTACTGTCGGCCATCATTGAAACGAGCAATGCAAATGGGGTCAAAGGTCATGTTTTTATCTGAAGACACCGTTATCTATGTTGCAGTGCTGGCTTAGTGAAACATTATCTGCTTTGCAAGAGTAAACGGTGCTTGTGTTTCGATATATTGTTTGTCGGTTATGAGTGTGTGTGTGTGTGTGTGTGTGTGTTATTACAAGCGTTGAGGATTTTTAGGATAATTCCAGTAGATTGAAAAACATAGCCACATATATACTTCTTGCGTATAGTTGTTCTGTTTATTTGCAGGATATTATAGAGCCTATTTAGCCTATTTACGTTACCGGGAGTGAAGATACCACAGTTTAGAATTTCGGGTGTTTTTGAGGGGCACCTATTTTTCGTCTATGTGAGCTAGTTTTTCATGTTTATAACAATATATACCCTTGTTCTTGCTGTACGCTGTCGCTGAATTCTCCTGTTCTGAGTTCTCCTCTGGCAGGACTACAACCGCTACTAGCTTCTAATTGTAAGAAGTTTAATTCGACAACATATGTTGACTGAAGATATGATGTTTTAATTGATAATGTCTGACGGATGCAGTAGTCCTCACTTTCACTAACTCGGCGAGTCGATTAAATGTATATTCTACCTAAGCCGTTAAATGTTATTTCAGATGGCTAGCTAAAACGAAATGCCTACACTATTGGATTCGAATTCAATCTATGCACAGCGACCTAAACCTTGCGTTCGATCCTATTGCTAGGATTCTTTGTCCGTTATGAAGTGACGGGTCGCTTACACTTGCTGTCCGTGATTGTGAATCCATTCTTATCGTAGATTCACGGATGCGTTTCACTGATCCGTAGTCCGTTCAATATCTGATAAGTCACTGTTTATAAAAACGAGCATAATGCTCTCCTTGCAACAAGTCGCGTGGATAGGGGGTAAATAACGATTATCTACAGCGGCAGGTTTCATCGTCGTATAAGTCCTCACCGTTTGACAAAAGAGTTGAAGGCTTCAGAAGTTTTATTGAGTGCAGTTGTTCGGAAAATCCGCCTGCGTAATAGAACGAATATACGTCATTCCAAGGCCCTTAATCGTCGTCCTTGTCCCGTTTCCTATACGACAGAGATGAGCTCAGCAGATAAAAAAAAAAAAAAAAAAACAGTGAAAAATAGAACGGAGATCAAAACCAAGTTTCTGTTCACTGTCATCTACATGAATATAGATACATATAATCCTCAAAATGCAGTTTTCTTTCAGCTAGAGGCGCTCTCACAAAGCAATCTTTCCTACTCTATTGCCATCGGTTAGTGTTGACACCACAAATCAATAATTAAAATACACACATATATGTGGAAAGGCGTTCAAAGCACGTAGATGTATGTCATCGATCGGTGTAGAAGACGCGACTGTATCAGTGATCTTCTAAATAGTATATGGTAATCATAATTCTCGGTGACTGCTGCGATCAAGCCGTTTCGCACCTTAAGGTTCCCGCGTTATATCATCAACATCAAGCATTATATCGAAATGCTACACCTTTCAAACTGAAAAAGCTCTTCTTTCCCAAATAAGCATTTCCGTAACGCAACAAGTACTAATCGCTAAACGAGGTGAGGTAGGTGACCCATTTCTTGAAACTGCGTGTACGTACCCATGCTCACGGCCGTCATACAACACTATGTCAGAATTTTAAGTAGCGCTTCTATTATGCACCCGGTCTGCGATCACGATCACATTACCACGGACGATAACGCCCAGTCATACCATATATTATAAAATCATAACAACGTTACAACAGGCGCGAATATATCATGGCACAATACGCGAAAAATGAACCACAAACAATTTATTGCCGTATGGATTAATGCATTTTGCCGTGTGCCTATAGCAAACAGTTGGACCAGCTGGCGCAACGGCAAGCTATTTTCAAGCTGGGCCATAAACAAGAAATACTCGTAGATTGCCAAAACGGGAAATGTTTAGTTAGAAAAAGAATCACTAATAATATTGTAGACAAATAAAGCGTTCCTTCACTATGTCGTAGACATTTAAAGCCAAAGAAAAACCGGAATCTCATAGTCACTTTATTAATACTCTGCTAATCTAATAGAGATAGTCTTTTTGGTCCTATTGCCGCAGCAGTGGTTAGTAGCGAAATATTTATCTAAGCTGTGGATTTCAGAAACAATACATTCAATTGATCAAACCAATCAGTTGTACAATCCGAAGAACTGAAGCAGCAAATGGACGACATGACATTGGCCACGGCCCCTGATCGAGTGTAACGGTCTCGTATAAAATATAATTTAGATTTAGTACAGACACAGGTAGCTTGGGCTCTATGATAGGGCTACGGTCTGCCTGAAAGCCGCTGTCTCTCGTAGTGACTGTAGTAACTCTGTTGAGCACGTTGACACGCCATAGCCTGAGTAAGATGCCTTTGAAATAGTTTTTCTGCTGCTCGGCCGTCCTGCTTTGAGGGGGCGTAGGTGCACTCAATTCTGGGGTCGTCAACGGCAGACGAAAGTGTAGTTTAGGTAGGGATAGTTCGCCTCGCGATAGTTCGAGGGCAGCACGCGGGAGCTGGTAAAGGTTGAACGCACGACGCCGGGGTTGTGTAAGACCTTATAGCTCCGCTACCATGAATTTTTTGCTATCAGTGACAGAGTCGCGCCACATCGCTATCACAGAGGGTCGCTACGAATCGAACACGTCAGCTAACCGCAAACACGAAACGATATACGGTGACCGTATGATTGCAGGCATACCCAATAGCGTGGCCGAATGAACAAAAAGCGCAGGAAACGTTCGTAAAATTAGAATTCCTAAGCAATTATGGCTCGTACTGGCATGTAATACAAGCCGATTCTATCTACCTCATGGCGATTAAATCGCAGTAAACTAACAGCACTACTTTATACGTAGCAACCTATTATGCATTGCAATTGAATCACTATCGGACGAACCCTTTTACATGTATGTATATATATACACATATTATAGACTATTTATAAAGTTTGATAAAGAATAGCTGGCATTTTATGTTTTTTTATCAAAAAAAATATTTATCAATGTGTCAATATCAGTCCTGTTTTTCCAGAGTACTGCTCACCTGACACTACACACCTACACGAGAGGTTTTTCCAGTTTAGAAATCAGTTCATGAAGGCAATTTTTTGAATGAATTTTAGCTTTTGTAGCGATTCTGATTTTAGTTTCTTTACATTATCAAAGGGTCATTTTTTTAAAGTTTATTCAGCTTAGGAAATGGGAAGAAAGAAAAATGTCTTTCAGGTAATGAGGTTGGGACGTTTGTGTGGTGTCATTTTTCGCCAAAAACTCACGGTTAAGCAGTGTAACGGTTCCAGGTTTTTTATTGTGATACGTTTGTCAAAAGTTGGTTCGTCACGAACTTGATTGTTTTTTTTTTATTGCTACATGCAAATCCCGTAGGACCCTCTTTGACGTCCGACCTGGAAGTAAGATCTCGTGGTAAGCTACGCCATTGAAATCGAGCAAGCTAGCTAGTAAAGCCTTCATCTGATCAAACTTAGCGAAATTCTTTCGATCTTCATGTCCAACTAGGAAATTTCTATTGGGTTGGTTGTACGTTAGTTTCGATACCATACCCATACAGCCATAATTCATCATCAGTTACAACTTCCCGTTTGGCAGTTTTAGATCTTCATGGAGAACATTCAACAGCTTTTGAACGTTGTTCATTCGGCATTGGTTTTAATCGGAACATAATTTAAAAAATTTTGAAACTGCTTGTTTTTTTATCCAAAAAAATAGTTTGGCATAAGCAAAATGATCGTCAGCAACCTTTCTCATAGTGACCGGTGATAATTTCTATCGCTTTTTGGCCAAGTTATTGGTTATTAATACGCTAGGTCGTCCCCGGCGCTTATGATTTTCAAGTTCTTTACGACTTCCATGAAAAGGATTGTAATGTTTGTAAGCGCCTGTTGCATTAAAAAAGAATTCGCCTACATTTTGATCCATTCTTTGACCAAAATGTCATGTCAACACTTTGCTTCATTTCTGTTATAAATTAAAAGTCGCTAAGGTGTTCGAATGTTAACAATTCAGTAAATCATATATATATTATATATGATTTACTGAATATATATAGTATATATATATATATATATATAGTGACTCTTCTTTGGAGAACAACAAACATTGCGGTAAAACGGCGTGAAAAAAGCAACTTAAAATCTTATCTAGTGGTGTATTTACCGGCTTAATTACCAATGAATACTGAAATATGTATTCAGTGTTTATTGTAAAAATATATTCTCGGCTGCAATTATTCGAATGGAACATTTTCCCTATTGTTTCCTAGAAATTTCTCGTTTTTTCATATAAGCATACGCATGTCCGTGTCCCATCAGGAGATAGGCGTTGGTAACTTGGATGATAGACAACAAGAGAATCGCTCGGGTAGAGTCGGCCTACGATGTCGCTTTCCAACGCCACTTGGTTGAGACTGAGCCACTGCAGGGAGAGATTTCTAGTTGAAGTTGAAAATGATGATATATTAATATTGGCTACTTGTTCAAGCACTCTTACGTTCAACGAGAGGCCGTCGTCTTGTGCTATCAATCAGCAAATTACATATATAATATATCGACAAAGGCGCTGATTTTTGTGCGTGAGCTTGTGTTTCCTGTCCAGGGGAATGGGAATATTTAAGATGATGGGAAAAGTCAAAAGGTGATTGATTATTGTAATTGAAAAAATAATTCATTTTTTTGACATTTAACAGACCGTAAGATCTAAGCTAAGAATTTACAGATGGAATACGGTTAGAAGACAAAGAGCGTATATAGCTTTCTGTGACTTTATTACAAAAAAATATGCCTATACATATAGTATATGTACACCTAAGTCATAAGTACTTTCATCGCTCTATAGTAGATATAATTTACAGATTTCTAGTTTCATATTTAGCGATGCATATCATGGCACAAAGTTCAACGCATTATATCGACTGTGCAGACACCTTCAGCTTGATACGTATTTCCCCTATATATATATATATACCCCCTATATTTTACGAAAACTCCCTCTTGTCGGTGCCAACATGATTTGACGTCCAAAAATAAATTGATGTTTAGTACAGGTGCGCACAAAAATTATAATGAACCTGTTTTTTGCTTTTAGTTGCTGATAACGGATTCATCGCCAATCAGTCGAGACGCTACGACGAGGGCATTGCCTAAGAAGACCGTGCCAAAGAACAATTTCAAAACAGATCGCAACAGTGGTTAGTACCATTCTTAAAAGATACTTGTAAATATTATTATCCTACTTACAATCAAACATATATATTTCATGCACTATATCATCTCGGCTTCGATAGATCGATTAAATTCTTGCATGGCTTGTGGCGTAAAGAAGATATAATTGATAGTACGTATCTGCCGCCTACCACTTGGACTTCGATGGCCGAGCCCTGTAAAACTCTGAGAAACTGGGATGTAAACTATAAGATAGAAGCTTTGTAGGTGTACGGAAACAACGAGGTCGCAAAATAAGACAAGGAACGTGCCTTTCGGGGGGTCGAAATCTCTTCCACACCATAAATTTCTGGGGCTACCCCAAATCAGTAGTTTATGGAAAATGCGTACAGCTGTAAAAGAAGTGGGAGCATGTTCTAGCTCAGCAGAACGAAACATCCATGATAAGAAAAGAGCAATGCGGACTCGAGAGTTAATGTTCTGAGTGCGGTATCCAGCGAAGGATACATTATGTCAGCATGTATCTCCTATAAAGGCGACCGTATGGTTAAGGAAGTTTATCTACAACCCCTTACGTTAGCCGCAGGACAATCGTGGACAGCTAACGTTTCTGAATAAAACCATACATATTTCGAAAAGATGATGGATAGGCTTGTAGCAACCAATGTGAACAAGATTGGTTGCCTGAGCTTATCGCTACATAAATCAGACTCAAACCACTTAGATTATTATATATCTAGTGGGAATAGTTCGTATGAAAAGTTCCGAGTATCGATGTCCTGCCGTGTATATCTCTTCGAATTGTGTCGTGTTTTAGCATCAAACTGACGCTCACTGGGATTATGGACTTCGTAAGTCGAAATCGATGGGTTAACGCACTGCGGCAAATTAGGCAGCTGATGAAGAAACACGAGTGGGTATAACAGATGGGGAAAGCACAATAGAAAAATCTCCGTGGCTACATCAAATCAAAGGTCGTTCTTGCTATTAAAGTTGGCACTAATAAGGAATATTTCTCATCACTGTAATTGAAAACGCTCTGTTTGGCAGAACTCAACGGCCGAGTTGATCAAAGCTTTTGGATTTATTGTCTGCAGATAGGTCCCAGTTATTTTTGGTTGGCATCAGAGTTCAGAACATGAAATGTTTAAGAACCATTCGAGCTATCGTACATTAAATTGGACCACCAGGATGCGCATCGAACAACCAGGATCTTCATAAGTGTATTTTTGCATCCTTCATTTGTGGAATTCCATCATGCACAGGTGCATAAAGGCCTGCGTCTGCTCCTTTAACAAGTACATAAGCAGTGGCAATTAAAGCGATGCACCCCCTCATACGAACAAATTAGTGGTGAGTAAGCTGGCTGAGGATGAAGCCATCGGTTGGTTATATATGGGATTTTATTGAGCGAACATAGCAACGTTGACTCACTCATCGTCCCAACCATATGAATCGAAAAGTTTTGAGACAGGTCCGTGAGCGGCTTAAACCTCAAACTGCTCGAGGTGATTGGCTGTTACATTGGAAACAAACCCATCAATTACTGTTGTCATCCGTTTTCATTCAGACTCACTTCATAAACAAATCGACATTTTGTTTATTTATAAATATATATATATATATATATATATATATATATATATATATAGGCAGTTGCAAACGACTCCCGCTGATTTCAAACTTGAATGTCTTTTGAAGTACGGGCCGCCAGCCTACGAAACTCAGTCAGTAATTCCGCGAACTTGTCACTAACAATCGGTGGAGTTTACTCTAAAAAAAGTGAAGCGATGAAAAACACATTTCGATTTCATCCAGTCGATGCGCGGTGATCAAATTTTTGCTCCTGAAGGCCACAGCGCTGCAGAAATCCATTAAGGACCGATTAAGTTATTAGACAAGGAGGCCTCAAGCTACAGTATGTAAACGGTGCAGAGAAAAAAACGGAGACTGGAGAATTGAAGGCCAACGAAGAGGTGACCAGTTGAGACCAGAGGAGACCCACAAGACAAGAATGCATTGCCGCAGTCAAAGAAGCTCATACGAAGGCAGAGATTTATTGTTGTGTTAGCTAAAACTGGCATTTCGCGGCATGTAAGGTTTTACAGATTTATAGCCCAAGTACTGAAAATGCAGACTGTGTAAAAATGGAAACGCGTGTGGTGTATTTCTTTACAATTTGTGGAACCTTAATAAACGAAAAATCTCATGGGCACCATAAACAACGCATGCTAAATCAGTCGTGGAGGAACTCGGCGAGCAAATTGCGTAACCCTGGGATGAAATCGAATTTGGTAATAGTGTTGAGTGGATTAGGACGTAAGGTAATGGTAGGACCTATACTGGGTAATTGGGGTACATGCTATTGTGACGTACTTGCCGAAGATGGAACAATGAGTGCAGCTCTTTATTTCACGGACTGTCGGAGGGGCAATCGAAAGTACCCACTCTGATTATTTGGCGACGAAGACAGAGTACATCGTCATACATCTACTATTTCCACAATTGAGTAAAGGAATATCTAATGCTGATTTAACCTTGCATATTCTGTCGTTCTGAGCCCGTACGACCAGGGAATTTCTCATGGCCTAAAATGGCGTATATGAAAAGCCATATATAGAGAAATTATATTGAAAAGCGTTGACATAAATATGATATGACAAGCTCTTGATTTAAAAAATTGCTATTCTAGAAATTGTTATTTGCGTAATTCCAGTTGAATTACAGTGTGAACCGGAAGACTTTGTGGTAAAAGTGAACTTCACGCAACCATTCAGAGGGATTGTGCATGCGGGTCCTAAAAGTAATAAATGCCTCCTTAGAGGTGACGGTGGTCAGTACTATACATTACGAATACCACTCGATGGATGCGGTACCATTCATAACGTTAGTAATGAGTTTCGTTGCGTATATCTCATGTATATATATATATATATATATATATATCCTTTTGTGTACTAAAATCTCACAATGTTTCTGTAAATATTTATTTACATGGAATCACTTGCCAAGTATCAGTCTAACTGTCTGAGTTGCCGATATCTATGTACTGATTTTTGTAATTTCACGCATTTTACAGGAAGGCCGTTTCAGCAATACGTTAACGATCCGGTTCCACCCGTCACTCGAACTAGAAGGTGATGAATTAAAGACACTCGTCTGCAGGTTTAAGACCGAAGCAGTGCTTGTTAAATAGACTTCAAATTATCCGAAGCCTTAGTAAACGTCAACCCGAAGGGATTGTCAATATTTATATGACACGACAATAATAAAAGCTTCGAACGAAGTACTTTATACAATAATTGAGCCGAATTTTGGTTCTAGGTGTGTATTGTATCTCAACCACTATTTAAGCGCTCGTGAAGATAATAAAGTATTTATGATTAGAATATCCTTGTAATGTCACCGTCTACATTTTAACAGCGTTTTTTTTTTGTCGCGTACCGTATGTACTATCGCGTAATAAGGCAAATGGATCCGGTCTATTTGTTTATCGTAGACTAATATCTCCCGATTCAACTCGTTCACGAGCGAAGAGAGCGTTTTTATTACTACGCGGCGGTTTTCTAAATTTGACCTTTCCGGAAAACGCATTGAAATGCAGTTTGCGAACGCTTGCATAAACGTTATTGAGTTACGTCGTATTACTGTATTATAACAAAGCAGTTTATCTAGCGAAATTTCAATGAGACCGAATTACCGAAAAGTTCCCCGCATTTCTAGCTTCTCCAAAAGGCCTAGTAAACCCGAAAATGACTGACTACAAGTGGACGGGAGTTTACGTACGTTATTACGTCTCGTTCTACCGCATATATCCTAAGTACGCATGACAACCCAAAACAAATCAATGGGTCGAGTTTCACGACCGATAGTGTCGTTAAGGGTTGCTGCAGACGATTAGTTCCTGCAAGACGAAGAATGTCTATGTCAGGCTTTGAACGGAGACCACCACGTCCCCAGAAACTTAGCAGGCGAACACGTTACTTCTGCATTATTACGGAAAAGATTACTCATCGCCGAGAGACATTGGTTAGATAAAATAACTTGCTTAATTGAATCATTTAGCAGATATGGCCCAACTGTGTCCCTAGATTTGAAAGTCGTTGCTTTAGCCATGAGGCCACGGCGTCGTACCCTATTATTTGAGCTCACCATTTTACCCTATTATTTGAAGTACCATTAGCAGAACAATATTATTGTAATGGAAAATAGATTTGTTGGTCTTTACATCGCCAAATGAATATATTTAGTCGAAAAAAAAATAGTCCTAGCCGCTTGTTTCTATCTTTATTTCTATTTCGCAGCAATGGATTACTACCGCTGTTAAACCGTACGCATTTTTCGCGAACTTGTTAAAAAAATATTAGGATTGCACATTAGAGAATTAACGAGCGTATCATTAATGCTGTAGCATAAATTAGGGTAGTTTTTTTTTAACTAACGCACGTTCGCATTTCATTCATACCGATTTGTCATGTACTTTCCACTATCTTCTTCCATTCCCTAATGAGGAATTAGTTTATTTTTTTCTCGTCAGAAATTTTCAGGTCAGGTGTTGATGATCTCCTCCATCTAGCTTGTTTTCTTTGCCGGTGATTAAAGAGGTAGTAGTCTATTGACGCGATCTCTGTAAAATATGGTGGCTTCCAAAAAAGTTCGAAACAAACTATGCGATATGTAGCCAGCTATTGTATAGGCGGCTTGGCTTTGTCCATCGGGTCCATTTAAACAGCCTCGTGAAATCAACACAATCGTGTTATGTACTGATCTTTGTTGACAGTTTTGCCTTTTCTCCAGGCTGCCCGTTGGGCAAGTCGTTCAGGGGCAATGAAAAGCCGTGCCTTTTGTCCGTTTTTCACCCAGGCACTTAACGTCTAATAAAATTTCATGGATTCAAGACGCTCAACGATGGTCTAATATTCGCAGCTTAATATCTCGGTGAATCAACGAGCTTGCCATACGAGGTGGATAAGAACCTCGAATGGACGATCAAAGTGCGCTATTTCTGCCAGACCCAAGACGCCATGCTTGAACATAGCAAACGTTTTTACGCCATTCTTTCAGTTATAGAGTCCTCGTTGTATAGCGCAGCTTTTTGATCCCAACAAAAGGCAAAATGCACCGACCAGAGACATCCATCTTGAGAACCGAAACCCGATGTAGAGTTGTGGTCATCGTACCATACGATACTACGGGCTCACGGAGAAAACAGAAAGCATGTTTTAACGACATACAGAGATAAATAGACTACGCAAAAGCTGAAACGAAAGGGGCATTAGAGAATCCGTTCATTTATATTAAAAATTAATATAGAAGACTGATCTGTTCTCCTTTTTGAACGTTAGGTCGTTTCGAATAAGATCAAACTACATCAGCTTAGCAAGATAAGTGTTTATTATATATACTTTGACGTTACCACGATGACTATAAAAATCATGGGCACCACTAAGGTTAATGAACCATGTCACACAATGCGGATCCACAGCTGTTAGGTTTATTAGAGTTGTTCAGCATCAAATAGCACAAGACGGCCTCCGTTAGAAGGTTCGTGGAAAGATTTGATTGAGTAATGACCATTGATTGGTCCACAGCTGAAATCGGCATACATATACTACAATTTATACTCAACAAAATTCAAATTATGGATGCAAAACGTACCTTGCCTTTCCGGATAGCATAACATATGTTAAACTCGTATTAAAGGTATAATAACAAGGCTTGGATTGGACAAGCTTACATTTATTTCTTAAGGCCATCACGCGATGCTTATTTCGTGTGTGAGAGAGTCAAATGGTTCCACCCCAAAGAAAATATTCCGTCCTGTCACACAATGGAGTTTCAAAGTAAACTTTTCTGGACATATGCAAATAAGCCTAGATGTAGAAGAAATAACACAAATAAGGACAACGTCGAAGCGGACAAGATAAATTGAATACAAGAATATTTCTAGGTTCTCACACCTAATTCAGAGAACGATTCAGTGAACCGCTTTTTTAGTTGACACAAGGAACACGACATAGTAGATAAAAACCATTTGATTCACACAAATTGTATGGCATTCATGTAAACAAGTACGCATAAGTTCATCAATTTGTATAATGATACAAAATACATGATCGTTATTTTAATCAAAAAAACACGAGCTCAAATGTAAAAAAGAAAGCTACAACTGTTAAAGTATATCTTTAAGCTATTGTTCAGACCTTTACTTCTTATCGTGCATGGTAGAATCGTACTTGTCCTTCCTCCCAATTTATATGAGTTTCATTCGCGGGATACAAGTGACCCTTCACCTAATCTTTAGTTAAGGTGCAATCACCTTAACTAGCCTACTACCTAATTCTCGTAATTTAAGAGTTCTTAGAAATCGTTCAACTAACATTAAGAGATGAAATTCAAATCTTTATAACAATAGAATATTTAGATTAATGATTTACTTGACTTAAAACAATGCCAAGAACAACACAGGGTTGAATTTGAACAAAAATGGTAAACCGTATCTTAGTTCATGCACTTCAGGTTAAGCATCCCGGAGATTGAGGCTTAGAAACACGCACCCATCTTCGAATATTACATGTACTAGATTCTTCGAGACAAGCAGGTTGCTGCCTCTTCACTCTGAAGAAGCCAGTTGTGACTAAAATTGTCGGACGTATAGAAAAGCTTATTGGATACTTGCAAGTACGAAAAGGAAATGCGTTTCCGCAAAGATTACAGCGAAAGCTCACCAAGAATCAACAGCCATTAAACAGGAATACAAGATTGCCTATGGAATTGTTGAGAAAAGGAATCGCCTGTTGTTATTTTAGGTATACCTTATCGAAATATACAGTCGGGAAATAACCAACAGATGTACCGTAGCGCATTTCCAAACATGTTTAGACATACGAAATAGTCTACTCTGCTAATTATTATCGCTTGCTTGCTAAAAACAACATACACATTACGCTGGTCCAGAATAGGGAGACCAGGTCTCACCGAAATCTTACTAGAAAATGCTTAGGGTAAACTCCCAGGAAATATTCCACTTTTAGCTATAAGAAGAGGTACCTTAAGTACGCATGTAAAAGAAGGAACGCCCAAGAAATACTGCCCTTTCTACAGTAGCATCGGGTCATCTGCTAACAAAATCGCGATGTGGGCATTAACTCATCTATAATGCGTCTATATACATTGAATCATACGTGTGAATGTAGATGTATCTATCTCTTTGCATCCATAGACGTAACTGCAACTGGGATAGGTTTCCCTTAGCTCGGGCGCCAACTCGAAACCGTTATGCCGAATGCTCTATTGATCAGAGAGCAACGATCTCTGAAAAAACGCTAAGCATTTCCCGTCTACTGCGGTTCCGTTGAAAATTATATCTTCAAAAAGTTCGTAACCTAATTTCAGCACGGAAAAGCATCACTTCTGCACACGAAAAGACTTCGTGTAGAGCAGGAAATTCCACTGTGTGTATCGCCTGGCGTAGCGCGCTACACCGCTCGACGTAGTGGCAATCAACAGAAGCTAATTAACGTCGAAAGATACCTCTAGAGCCTCAACCAGTTGGATTTTACCTTTTCATTAGGGTGAATATTACATGCCGGAAGGGTGACCAACATGCAACAGAAGTCACGCTTCCGACGCTTGGCTATTTAGCCAATAACCTGACAATATTTGAAGATTTCATGAAGATTTTATTCGCAGTTGGTCAATGGATCAGAAAACACCTGCTCAATTCTGGACCACACGGAATCTTTACGGGGGGAAAAAGCTCTCTTCGACGTAATCCTATGTAAACTCTACGACCAAGGAATGAAGAAAAAATTCCATCAAACTTAGGCTGTATCGTAGGATACGATGCGTAGCCAATGGGAAAGGTGCGGTGAAGGGGTATCAACGGAAGATTACGCTTCTCTTGTATAATGTATGTAATTGTATGTGAGGAACTATCGAGTAACAATGGTGTCTAAGGGAGTTTTTTGAATAGGTTATTAATAATATGCAGCAATATCTCATTTTCTTGCTTCAATTTTGCCAAACGTAGGTACTTCCATCATATGGGCTGCGGCATCAACGAACAATAAAAGATGGTGTACTAATTTACCAGTGTAAAATATCTTCACAATCTCTGTGCCAAAATATATATTGTCATTTTCTATTACAATTTTGCGATGAAATTTTGTCGAACGGCCGGGCGTTATTATTAAAGACGTTCAGTAAACCGACATGACCATTGATGCTTTTCTTGCTCCGACATCCTGCTGAGCAAGTACAGAGAACGTCTGTTAAAAACTACAGCTGGTTCCATATATCGCCTAATAGATCCACGCACGACATATCATACTTCGTTGGCACACGATATGATCGAGTGTATATGTAGCGCATGTGCTTGATAGCTTGAAATTAGCGAGTTCTCCTGAATAT